ACACAGGTTATCGCCCTGCCCTTCCGTCAGGTGATGGGGATCTAGCGGCAGGGCTGGCAGGACATCGCCTACGCTGGCATCTCAGGGCCCGTCACGCCTCGCGATGTGCTGCTCCAAGCCGTGGACGAGAACATTTTGCGTGCTGTGCCAAGACAGTGCTGCTGTCATCCGGCGGAGCGGGACCCACGGCGGGGGGGGGCGCCGTTCGGCTCGGCGCGCACGGCTTTGGGAGCTGTGGCTGGGCCAAGCGAACCGCTGAGAAACAACAGCTTAAATAAATGTAGTGGCCCCGAGTTAGAGCCCTGCGCAAATAGTCCTCACGCTGCTCCATCCCTTTGTCTCCTCCAGCGTGTTGGTGGTGTGAGCGCTGCTCACCTGAGGGGAGATGGGAGCACCAAGGGGAGCGCCGAACACATCCTCATAAAGTTATTATTAATGTCTTCTTCAGGCCTGAAATTCCTCTTGCTAGTCTTCCGTTCTGTTAAATGCTTCTTCGCAAACCAGAGCAAAGGAAGAGACATGAAGAGTTGAATTTCACTGCCTTGTTTGGAACTGGGTGGAAATCCTGGAGATGGATCTCTTAGGAGTCTGTCTTCCAATTGGGTTAGATGCACAGGTAACAGTAAAGGGACTTGTGGCTTTCTTGGTGAATCTGCTTCTAATTACTCTATGATTGCAGAGAGCTCTGAAAAAGTGATTTAGGGTTTATTGGGATTTTTTTTCTTCCACCATCTTTGTCCAGCTTTGTGCTATAACAGAGCTCAGGAGCTTTTACTATGGCAGCTACAGAAGTCCTACTTTGAACACTGAACCAGCAATGTTTGGGGTTTTTTTTTCAGTAGCAGGGTGAACTAATGCACTGATAGTGCATGTGGGCTTGAGGGTAAGAGGGGTAATGAAGCCACTGCACTGCCAAGTTTGGGACATGTCTTGAGCTGAGGGAAGAAATGAGAAGTTGAAAGGAAAGTTGGCCTTTCTAGGAGAAGTTATGGAGAGCTTCGCGGAAATGGCTTTGCCAGCTCTAGTGAGTTTTGCCACTGGGGTTTCTTAAAAGTCTGGCCTTGCAGCCTCGTGATCACAAGAGCATTTCTTCATCAATAAGTAATACGTGGGAAAAAGCGAGGGGGGCATACCATAAAGTTCCAGTACGGCAGGCCAAAGCGAAGCGGACCCCAAAGAAGCTGACTGGCCATAGGGCAATTTGAAGGATTGGGGTGGCTTTTTGAAATAATGTCTCTTTTGTTTCTGTGTGCTGAGGTTGGGATTGGCCCAGTTGTGGGATTGGAGCTGTGGGTGGACTTAGACACGTGTGAACTTTGTCTCCGTCTGGCCCAGCGCTCACGGACTTTCCACAAAGCCCTGACCTTCACCACCGAGTCATTTGCCTCTCCTGCCCATGCAGATGGGCAGCACTGGGAGGGAGGGAGGCACGCAGGCAGACGTTGATAAAAGAACTGTGTTTTCCTGTTGGAGCAGAAGGCATTCTCTCCTGGACAACGTTCTTGCTGTGTCTTAGCTGTTTTCTCAAATGTCCCTTTATTGCAGGAGCAATGGATCGCCCCAGCTACCTGGAAGAGGACTATTCTAGCCTGGATGGGCTGGACGATGACGTGTTTCACTCTGATGACTTTGGACTTGCAGGTCAGCCTGGTGAGATGACTGCAACTGGCATTTTCACACAGAACCAGTCCTACAGCTGCCTTCTGGGGAGGTTTCAACTATTCCCCCTCACACACTGCTGTGGTCCCGGTATCAGGCATCCTGAGCAGCAGGACAAGGCAACTCAAACACTCAGCCCGTCCTCTTCCAGTCAGGATGTTATGTTGCCTTGTGGAGTCACTGAAGAGCCCCGGAGACTCTTCTATGGTAAGAGCACTCCAGTGTCACCAGCTTTGCAGCAAGGAAACTGTCCCTTTAGGACTTCCCCAATCAAGCAAGGTTTCTTTCATTAGGGCATTTTATTAAAAGACTGAAATTATTTTGCTTTCGTCCTACTCCCTCAGGCAAGACAGCTTGTATTTTCTTACCCTTGCTTGTCCACTGCAAGAACCAGGCACTTGCTCATTGCTTCCGCTGTCCTTGATATTCCCACTCTTTTTCTTCTTGGCTTTATTCTGTCACATTTTATTTTACCGCTAGATGTTTAAGTGCTCGTATCCTATGATTTGCCTACCTTTTTTAACTTCCAGTGCTGTCTCATCCACCTAGGAAGACTCCCAGAAGTTTTCAGCGGAGAGAGGGAAATGCAAAAATTTACACTTGGTGGGGCAGCTTTTAGGCTCTTTACGGGAGTAACAGTTGTTGAATAAGTAGCTTGTCCATCCAGCATTTTACTAGTAACTGATGGGGCACCGCTCAGCTTTGTGTGTCCAGTTCAGCTTTAATTCGAATCAGTCCCACTAAATGCCAGACAACTGAGAAAAGTCTGACAGAAAAGGTACAGAAACTTTTAATGGGAGACAACTTGAGATCTTGTAAAACTGCAAAATTGTCATTAAAAAAAAAAAATCAGCACTTGGCTGAACTATAAACAAGCAAAAGGAACCAAGTGTAAGATCCTGCCAATCATTTGATTATGGGAAGCAACACAATGCTTTGCTTCATCGATATAAATCTACTTAAAAGCCGAGCAAATGTTTTACTGCCTGCTTATGGTACACAGTCATTGTCTGGGCTTCAGGAACTGGACTTACAACGAGTCAGAAATTTAGGATTATGTGCAGCTCTTTCCTCCGTAAAGTGTACTGAATAGAAGAGCTGTTCTTTGTGCTGCAGGAATGACTCTTCTGTCTGTTTCGTAGGGAATGCTGGTTACCGTTTACACGTCCCTCCAGCTGGCTTTGCGTTGGGTCCGCACCTCCAAGAGGAGCCTCAGGAAGGTCAGCGGGAAGCGCGTGCGGAGGTGCAGATTGCACGGAAGTTGCAGTGCATTGCCGACCAGTTCCACCGGCTCCACATACAGCGGGTAGGGTCTCTCTGGAGGGGAAGGCGGGGGCTTAGCTGTCCAAGAGGGGTGCTCTGGAAGACCGGCTCCAAGCACCAGCAAAGCGGGCTGTTGTCTAAGGCGGCAGACTGCCAGCAGCAATAAAACAGCAGGAGTATCCTGATGGGTTTTGCTTATGCTAGATTGCTGGCTCTTCCTAAAGATTGGTAGGTGGAGGGAAGAGACTGTGTGGGACTGCATTTACTGCCTGAGAAGGTAGCTGTTCTGCGCTAGCTGCTGCTATTCCAACTCTTCCAGTTCATTAGCAACAGGGGCACCGAGGCTTTCTCCAGGGATCTCCCCCTTGCTTTTTATTACAGCTTTTACTCTTCTCCACTCTCCTCACCACCAGTGACTTCTCTTCTGTGGCACAAGTGGCCATCTGTGGCTTATATCAGCTCCTCATCTTGGAGATGACAAGAAGCCTGGAGTCTGTTCTGACACTCCTTGTTGTCTACGGGTAGCTGTCTGAAATGTTGTGGAGTATATTTAGATCATGCTCTACTTGCTAGCAACTCCTCTGTCAGACAGTCCTAGCTAGTGTCTCAGACTTGTGACTAACTTCCTCACAACAAAAGACAGCTGTTAGATGCCATTAGGTCTGAAAACCACATTCCAGAATTTTGATTTTGTTTTCTTTTTTTCAAAAAAAAAAAAAAAAAAAACAGAATGAAACCAGCCCCCCTCCCCTATAATCCCTGATTCTTTCTTCCTTGCCCTCCTTCCCCTGTTGAGCAGGGATGGAAGGGAGATGCAGAGCTTGTCAGAGCTGGCAGAGGTTTGGCAGTAGGCAGCACTTCGCCGCTCCCGTGTGAGCCCAGCACAGAGAGTGAGTATCCGCTTGCATACGGAGAAGCCGACACTGGCTGACTTCAGAGAGGGATGGAAAGGTTACCTCGCTCCAAGGGAGCTGGCGCTCTCTTAGCGGTGGGATGTGTTGCCATTCTTCTCAAAAGTAAGTGAGGATCTCCGTCACGGTCAGAGAACGCGGCTTGTGGCTGGGCAGAGTTTTGTTCATGTGTCAGGAGAGAGGTGAGGGGATCCTGGGGCTCTTCGTCTCCAGATAGCAGGAGGACTAAAGACGCCGTACCGGGAAGATCAGCCT